TGTTTTGCAAATCCCTTTTTTATCATTAAATTAAAGATAATTTTACTTTGTGTGCGGTCCGCGAAGCTGCATTTGTGGCACTTTTTGTGTCAAGTTGTGAATTTAAAATACACAAGGACAAATTTCGTTTCAAAAATGACAGCACATCCCAAATCTACATTGACACATATTTAAATGTTTTGATGAATCTAATCGGTGTTGACAAATGGTTTTCATTTGGAGCTATACGATTACCATACGAATTCGGACATAGTTGTCAGAAACAAAGAAGTGTACATGTCTCTTAACATTTCTGCAGTAATCAAGTAATGATCGACGCAGTATTATTTTTTCTTAAGACACAAAGCTGCTGCAAACCCTGCTTTCATATAATGCCTTGTTTCGTGCAACAGCGTACATGGGTGGGTATTGGTTCTGCTGAGTTACCTAACAGGCCGATAAGGGGATAGAACATCAGAAAGCGAAGTTTGGGATGCAAACAATATGTGCGCAGTATTTTTACTATGTGTGTAAGGGTTTGCTTCCAGGAATTCTGAGGATTCGAATCCTAGCATGATCATCTCCCTCACGCTTCCGCATCACTCGGAATCATCTTAACCCATTAGTGAGCAATGGAATGTATACTGTCAGTCTAAAGTAATCGAGAAACTAATAACCACAAGGCTGAATAAGCGGAATTCTCTCGTTATATTGAGCCGATGAAAAGGATTCGAAGCACCCAGTGAATAAGTGATATAAGGTTTAACTTCCAAAAATACTATGAGGACCGTTCTAGCTTCCCGTGATTCGGTTGCCACGCAGGTGATGTAAGATTTAGCTCATATGCTTCCTGGCCAACTCTCCTTCTGCATACTTTCAGGCGTCATCAGGTTGTGCTTTCCCAGACCCCTAATTCTTCCAGGGCACTACAGACAGTAGTTGCCATGCCATGTGTCATTATAAAAGCGTGACAAGTTATCTTAATTAAAAATTCAAATAGTGGGGGCTCGTTATTTCAGCTGCATGCGTTTCCATCTTATGCTGAAAGTACCCAGGAGATTTTAACGTTAAGTGGTTGCTACAACCTTGTGCTGCGTAGCAACAGTTTCATTCCGGCTAGCCTCTGGATTCTTTAAATGGTATCGCAGTAACAATCATCATAAGACGTTAACTTATGAAGGCCGTCTTTTTTGGTGGAACTTGACTCAATCCGTTTCCTTTTTCCGTAACCACTTTTTTTCAAAAAGGAGTAGCCTTTAACAGTTACCATCAAGGCGACCCGTAATTGTGTCTGTTGCAGGCTTTGAATGTTTGCCTTATTTGAATGTCGATCTAAAGCACACAGCATAACTTGTTAATATGCTTCTCTACAACCCACGTACCCTCGTCGATCTAACACGGTCTTTTGGATCTAAGGCCTAAGAGGAATGACTACACATTAATCTGTGAATTTACTTCCAGATTTGTTCACACGCAGCCGTACACGATTTCGAATGCAAACTTGAACTTGACTGAAATAAGTAAGCCGGCATTGTGCTGTTGAGGTTTAAAAAGAGTTTAATTAATTTTGGGCTTTTTAAAGATTATAAGATGAAATGAATAGACTCACTGAGCAATTTCATCAGACTGGAGGCAGTGTGGATATCCAGACCAGTGGCCGGCCTATCTTGCCACTCCTTGTGACGGGTCAATCACGTGTTGGTGCTCGTCAGGCTGTATTATGGTGGTATTTGATACCGCTGTATGTTGTTGGTGGTGTAAACTAACGAAGCTCCTTCCCCCTCGATGCGGCATGGTAGAATACCTACATCTACTTTACAAAGTAGCATCGCAAAGCCATGCAGATATAATAGTGAGTAATGTGGGCAGCAGCATTCGTTCAATGGCATCCCTCTGGAATACTTCGTCTGAACTAATGCCCTTTGATCACTACGTCACTCCTAATAGAAGGCGAATTAATGAATGAAGTATAGTGCTGGGGGAACGCCCTATAATCCAGTAGAAGCGCTATTTGAACAAGGCGAGATAAGACATGGCAAAGTTTTATCAAGAAATGGTAGATTTGTCCCTTCGGGCCTCTCTTTTGTACATTCCAAACACCTTCAACCATACCACTTGGCTGTATGCACAGTAAAGTTGTACTGCAATTTTTGAGCTCACCGAAAGCAAACAATATGTAAATTAAGCAAGTTTATCATGACATCGACACCCTACAATACAAATGTTGACAACGCTACAGGTCCCGTGAATAGCACACTTTGATGGAGACCAATCAGACAGTAAAAGTGCTTTTTATTTAGCACCGGGAGTACTTATCCCGTCTCCTGCCTCCTTCAATAGGATGCCACACAGCCTCGTAGGCCTACTGAACTCAAGCAGTCACTCCAGACGTGTCAA